CTCCTCCTTTTCTTCTTTTTTCCCCCCTGTTTCTCTGCGAAATAAGGTTGTAATTATGTAAAAGGCCATAGTGTGTTTTCTCAAATAAAAATTTTGTAAACACAGCCAGGGCTTGGGCTTGGGGAGGAAGTTCTTGGGAAGAGTGGCTGTTATCTGGACAGGGGAGAGGGAAGGGCAAGTTCTTTGTAATTCATTCAAACTTTGCTTGGGTTTTTTTGGGTTGATTTCAAGGCTGCTGTCCTGGGGAATTGTGGCCTTGACCTGTGGCATGGAAGTTGGGAGTTGGGCCATTGACTTCCATGAGGGCAGGATCTGAAGGACTTAAATAATATGGTTTTTTATCTTGCTGACCCATTAAAGATGCAACATGTGTCAATTTAGCTGGGAATGACTCTACAAAAATAAGTCCTAACCATACCTGGACTAAATGGAGATGGTTTCATCTCTTTAACTAAAAAGAGGGATCTTTTATCCCCCTACAAAAATAATTTTAATGCACTCTGAAAATAGAGATTTGCAGGCTGATGTGACTAATTTAAACATGTGTAATAGAACAGTCACTAAATGAAAAAATCAAATTCTAAGACCCTGCTGTGGTTCTTTAAGCTTTAGTAGTAAAAGTGAGCTTCATTTGATCTCCTTTCCCATCCTAAAAAAAATCATAATTACAAACCCCTTTTCCCTGACAAACATCTGCCAACCCTGAGTTGTCTGGAAACTACAGGGGAGGGGTTAATTTTTTTTTTATATATATATTTTTTTTTTCTTTGTAATCCATCTGATGAAGTTTTTTCCATCCCTGGCAATCAGATGGCAAAGCCCTTTTCCAAGGGAGCAGGCACATCCAAGGAGGTGCTCGGCGGCAGACGGACAGACTCCCTAAATGCTACCCCTCTGAATGGAAGCCCTTCATTTGTGCATATGCAATTAAGCAGCCTTAGAAGGAAGAAAGCTCCAAACGGGATAAAAGGAACCTTTAATCAAGAAGCTGAACGGTCTAATTCAGGATAATAGAGGGGTCCTTACTGTTTGACACAGGAGGGGTGGGGGTGCTTTTTGTCTCCGGGAGCGTTGGCTTCATGATCTAACGACCCGGAGCAAAAGAGCAGGAATGCAGGACACTGCTACTTGACCTCCCCGTGTCACGTCCCGAGGGCTGGACCAGGGCTCTCCCAACTGCTGGGGAAGCAAAGACAGGAGTTTCTGTCACTTAGCAGGGATACGTGAATTGGTCGTTCCCGACAAGAGGCTCCCGGGATGTTTTTTTTTCAACAGGAATGCCAACAGAGTTTCAGCTCCTGCGTTGCAGGAAGCTGGGGATGGTTTGCTTTTAATCCATCCTTTTAATAACAGTTGCTAATTTTAATGTTGGGCTTGAGCTTTGAAAGAAGAAAACACATGAAAGGAGGAAGGTGGGGAGAGAGGGGAGCCTTAAGAATGCTTGGCTTTGAAATTCTATTTATTTATTTTTCAAATAAGATATTTGACCAGAAATCATGGTGCTTTCTAATTTTCTTTATGGTTGGGGGTATCCACTGCCACTGTGTATAATCTTCTCACTGTGGGAGCTGTTGTCACCTCTGAGGAGCACAGCCCTGCTCCCTCTGTCCCATCACATCCCTGCAGCCCTCGTGTCGCTGGACCTGAGCAGCCCTGAGGTTCTCCTGGAGAGGAACATCCTAGGGGGGAGAAATTGGAAATGTCGTGGTTAAAAGAACTGGCGAAGCGTCCTTTGCTTTTTACCTTTTGATTTTTTTTTAAACTGTGTTTTAATTCCCTTTACCACAGATACTACTTCAAAAAAGCGAGCGACGAGTTCGACTGCGGCGCGGTGTTTGAAGAGATTTGGGAAGATGAAACCATCCTGCCCATGTACGAAGGAAGGATCCTGGGGAAAGTAGAAAGGATTGATTGATGGCATCTGTGTGTTTCTTAAGAAAAGTTAAGCTAGAAAAAAGTCTTTGGACACACAACAGTAGTGATGACAAGGAAAGAAAAAAAAAAAAAAACTCTGAAGGAAAAGTTTTGAACCAATGAAGAAAAAAAGGTGAAGTCTATGAAGACTTTGCTGAATTAGCCTTAGAGGAAAAAAAAATGGCATTTATTATTCATGAGTTGGGTACTGAGATGATAAAAACCCCGGACTATTTATTAGAAACATGACCACTGTTGGCTATCGGAGATGCAGACCGTGTTTGAGAGACTTCCATACATAATATATGATTTCCTGGGGATCTGAAATCTATGGACTAAGAGAAACTGTGTATAGCTTACCTTAACAGTAATCCTTATTGATATTTATTGAACAGTCTGTTTTCCCTTAAGTCCAGTTTTTGGATATGCTGCTTTAACAATGGAGAAGAGAGGGGCTGGGAAGGGGGGGCGAGGGGAGGAAGGATTATTTTATTTTTTTAACATTGTTCCCACTATCTAAAATTCAGGAGTTTGGCAAGGAGCACATTCGTGATGATTCTTTTTTTTTTTGAAGGGGGAGGAGGGAAGGAGTGACGTGATGCCCAGTATTTCTCCGAGTGAAGATAAAACTTTTCTAAAGAAATAATAATAATAATAATAATAATTAATAATAATAATAATAATAAAAAGCCGAAATAAAAATGCTGTCCTACCATTCATCTAGAGACCGGTGCATTTTAATCTATGCTGCTCTAATTTGAAATAAAGGTCTTAAGTGTTAACTCTGTTAGAGGCAATACAACAAACAGGAACTTGTTATTTTGTCCATGGATTTCGGCGGGGCCAGGATTTTGCTTTGCTGCTGTCACTGGTGTCCAGCGCCTCTCAGTCGAGGCAAGGTAGAGCAAAACCCCGAGCCTGGGAGAGCTGTAGAAGGAGCCATCCCATTCCCATTCCCGTGTCTAGCACACCAAAAGGTTTAAAACCCTGTGTGTATCCCACAGAGCTAATTTTTTTAGCCGTTCGGTGTTAGCACTGCTTGTATTTCAACGCGGTGTAGCTACAACGGGGGTGTATTTTCAGCTTCTGAGTCGTTGTGTGTGGTGGGTTTTTTTTGGTTGGATTGGTTTCTGCCTTGCCTTCACACCCACCTGAGGCCGTGGGAGATGTGGATGAAGCTCCGTGTGTGTGTGTGGGGTGGGTTTTGGGACAGAGAGAGAGAGAGAGAGAGAGAGAGAGAGGGGCCCTTTCCCGAGAAAGACCTTGCATTTCGACAGTTGGGTTTTGTGTTGATTAAGTTAATCTGTGCATTCTGTTTGCCATTGCTACTTTGTGTAAGTCTGTATATATTGTAGAAAATGTATGGTGAAAATATTAATACACTATCTCTAGTGTTTTTAAAATTTAATCAGTACAGTACCTGTGCCTGCATGGTGTAACAGGCCATGCGTCGCCCTATATTCAGGGTTCAAGCTTTCCCTTGTTTGTTTAAGGGGTTTATGTATAAATATATTTTATGCCTTTTATTACAAGTCCTGTACTCATGACTTTTGCCATGGCATTTTGTTCTACTTATACTGTAAATTATGCATTATAAAGAGTTTCATTTAAAAAAAAAAATTACTTGGTACAATAATTATTGTAATTAAGAGATGTAGCCTTTATTAAAATTTTATATTTTTCAAATTAATATTGTCTTGACTTTTTTTTCACCCTTAATGCCTTAAAATGGTCTTTTTTTTTTCTCATGTATGGTGGTAGCTGGAAAGAGCTGCTGAGCTCTGCCCTGGCCTCTCCCTGCCTTGGCAGGGGCTGTTCCTGCTGGGAAGCTGTTGCAGCTGGGGGAGGCAAGGCTGGAACTGCTCTTCAGTGTGAGAATTAAGTAATTTACAGCTCCTTCAGGTAGCTCACCTACAAATTTAGCCTGGCCTTAGTGCCAAGACTGCACTGCCAAGCTCACCTGATGGAGCCAAGGGGTGACTTCCAAAGGGATGTGATTATCCCCAGGCTGGAGCTCTTTTCATGGCACATCACAGGGCTTTGGTCTTGGGGATGGTCACAGCCTTTCCCAGGTGTGATTGAGCCAGGACTGCCCACCTGCATCTCCTGCAAGAGTAAACCCAGCCTTGTAAATCCTGAGCAGAACCCAGCTCTGTAAAGCCTTGGCTCGCATGGTGGGGTTGGCCCAGGTTGAACTGGGGAGAGATTTGCTGGAAGCGGCTGAGCGGGACGAACAGAGGGAGCTCCTCCCTGTGTGCCTTCCCCCTCGCCTGTATTTATGGTACAAAACCTATTTTATAGCTGAACGAGCTTAATTTGTTCCTGAGGGAAGCTGCCCATACCAGGGATGGATTTGTCTCCCAGCTGTCGCCCAGACCTTCCCCGGCTCAAGCGAGTAACACTGGGAAAGCAATTGTGGAGCTGCTTTTGGTCTGTCCTGTTGGCAACCAGAGCCAGCCCTTTGCTTCTGCTGCACCAATGGCACTAGGGTTTTTTTTTTTCCTTTTTTTTTTTTTTTCCTCTCCCCACCCTATTTTTTTTCTATGAGGTTTTAAATTATCTGGGTTATTTTGTGTGTTTGAGAAGACTTCATTTAAAACATCAGTAAAACTTGTATCAAAGGGCTCAACTTCACACCGAGTACACAGAGCTCAGGACTGAATCCTGCAGTTCAAGGGAGCTGCAGGCAGTTTTACACATTTAAATGGATGGTGCCTTGTTTTAAAAAAACCATCTGAAGTTCATGGGGTTCATCTTAATTGATAAGCTGGACATAACGGATGGGTGTAGGGAGACTTCAACAACATAAGGGAAGAAAGATATTTTTTTCCCTTCTCTCTCTCTTTTTTTAGTCTACCATCAAAGGTTGGGAACTTAGCACTACACCGTAGTATTATTTTTCTTCTGCTATTAAAATGAATCACACTGTGCCTAATTCTTCTTGGGAAGATGAATGTGTTTGAGGCAGCTTGAAGCCATTCAGTGCCTCACAAGCCTTTGCATCTTTCTATCAATGTTCCAAAATACTCACCTCTGTTTTTTTGGATGTCTGTAGAAACAAAATATAAAATGGCTTCAAATACATGGCAGGCTGTTTAGTGGAGATGAAAGGGTATTTGAATAGTCTTTTTAAAATGAATGAAAAGTGAATACTCTCTTCTGTTTCAATTATAAGTGGGACATGGAGCTCGTTAGACACCACCTTAATATGTGACACTCTGAAAATGTTCACCTACCTTCAGTGGTTCAGAAACATTTTGTTTTTTAGCTTGTCTCGGGATGAAGATCGTGATTACAGGTCTGGCATGTTCTCTGCTAAATGGAGAGGCAGCGTGGGAAAGTTCTGCTCTTACAGCTTAAAAGTAACATCCAACCAAACCTTTTTTTTTTTTAACAGTACAGAAGATTGAGAGAGAACAAGAACCTTATTTTGACCCAAGTGGGTGGTTTTTTTTTAAGTTTAGCTTATCAGGTTTAACAAAAACTATGTAAAACTCATGCTGAGAAAAGTGCCCACAGAGCTGCTTGTGGTGTTGGAATGTCCTGTGTTAGGTCCTTCCAGAGGATGGACCAAAAATGTCCCTGTTTGGGTCCTTCTCCAAAGGAGGGACCCAAAATATCCTGGTTTGGATCCTTTTCCAGAGAAGGGACCCAAAATATCCCTGTTTGGATCCTTTTCCAGAGAAAGGAAGTAAAATATCCCCGTTTGGGTTGTTTTCCAGAGAAGGGACCCAAAATATCCCTGTTTGGGTCCTTTTCCAGGGAAAGGACCTAAAATGTCCTGGTTTGGGTCCTTTTCTGGAGGATGGACCCAAGATATCCCAGTGTAGGTCCTGTTCCAGAGAAGGGACCCAAAATGTGCTGCCTTGGATCCTTCCAGAGGAAAGAACCAGCACGGCCCAGTTTGGGTCCTTTACTAGAGGAAGGACCTGAAAATGTCCTGATCTGGGGCCTTTTCCAGAGGATTGACCCAGAGTATCCAGCCACATTTGGGTCCTTCCAGAGGAGGAACATCAACAGCAAGAGCCCTGCTCTGCAGAAGCAAACCCGAGCAGGGCTCCAGGGCTGCAGGAAGGGGGGCCTGAGTGATCCCCAACCACTCCACACACTTAAATCACACTAATACTTAACACTTAGCGCATTTTTCGCCTTCAAAGCAGACAGGAAACACTCATTAAGCCCCACAGCACCCACGGAGGGAGGGAGCCCTGCTCTCCTCGGCCGTAGCTGGTGGATAATTGCTGGCGTGGCCAGGGGAGCTTCAAAGCCGTGTGTTGGCTCTGCAGGCTGGGTCACGGTCCAACAAAAACACCAGCCCTGGTTACTGCACAATTAAAACGCGTTGATGGACCTTTAACGGTCCTTGGGAGCACTTGGGCCTTGCAGCCTGGAGGCTGGGAATCAGGGGCATGCATTGCCCTCAGGATTTTTTTGGGGGGGGGAAAGAGAAACACTTTCCCAAGTGTTTCACAGCTGGAGTTTGCTGGAGGTATGTGGTGATGAGCCACAATGGGCTTGCTTGGTCCCGAATAAAGGCTGGAAGCAATGGGGAGTGGGGATGGGCTGTGCTGGGGAGGGGACAAGGGACAGCTGCAGGGCTGGTTCTCCTCTCTGAGTGGGGACAAGGACCCTCAGCTTCCCTCAGCGAAATCCAGGCTGCATTGGATGCACAAAGCATCCCAGCCCTTGCTCATGGGCCTCTCCTCCAGCCTGGCCCTTGCAGGTTGGTCACAGCAGATCCAGCAAATATTTTGTTTTTCTCTCTCTACACTGAATGTTCGGCATCACCTGGCTCAAGGGGTGCAAAACTTCCGAGCCAGCGTCCAAAAACTGAACAGGGCTGCCCCTCAAAATCGTGAGCTTAGAACAAAATTAAATAAATAACAAATAAAACTTCCCCTCCCTTCATGGACATAAAGATACAGAGCGGATGTTACTTTGAACGGCACCGGTACTGGGAGGGTGCTTTGCCTTGGTGAAGTCCCACAAAAACTCCCTCCTTTTCCCAGGTGATGGGATCAGGAGCATGTCCAGTTCTCCCCAGACTTTCCCAAGTCTCCCCAAGGTTGTTCTCTCCCCTCCACCTCGGGAGTTTATTCCCTTTTAACCGGTGAGTCAGCTCTGTGCCAGCCAGGCTGGAGCACTTGCTGGTTCACACTCTGCCTGGTTCATACTGGCAATTGTATTCCCTTCCTCCTTCACCTTCCATTAACCTCATGTTCCTCAAACACCTTCATCCAACTACTCCATTCCGGTAGCAACCTCAGATTAATTAAAAAGGAAAAAAAGAAAGGAACGCTCTGTCTTTAAAATGAGGTTCCCATCCCATTGCTTTCAGATGCTCTCTCTTAATCACAGAGCCCAGAAAACACCCACACAGAGGAGGCTGGAGAATTATTTAAGGCAAATCATCTTCCTTCCTCTTCTTAAAAAAAGATCAGACTAGTTCTGGACAGTGAGAGCAGCTCTGGTTCAGGTCCTTTCCATTCTTCCCAGCAACATTCCTGATTCCTGCCCGCAGCCTTGCCTGGCCTCCCCACACAGCTCTGCACACACTCCTTTCCCCCT